AAAAAGAGAGAGAGAGAGAGAGAGAGAGGACCTTCAAAGACCATCGAACTGAAGAAAGAAGAAGAAAAAAGAAGCAAAAAAGAAGAATGAATGACATACCTCAAAGCCTGCGAAAAACAAAGAGAGAGAGAGTGATGAACTGCGAGAAAAAGAGAGAGAGAGAGAGAGAGAGAGGACCTTCAAAGACCATCGAACTGAAGAAAGAAGAAGAAAAAAGAAGCAAAAAAGAAGAATGAATGACATACCTCAAAGCCTGCGAAAAACAAAGAGAGAGAGAGTGATGAACTGCGAGAAAAAGAGAGAGAGAGAGAGAGAGAGGACCTTCAAAGACCATCGAACTGAAGAAAGAAGAAGAAAAAAGAAGCAAAAAAGAAGAATGAATGACATACCTCAAAGCCTGCGAAAAACAAAGAGAGAGAGAGTGATGAACTGCGAGAAAAAGAGAGAGAGAGAGAGAGAGAGGACCTTCAAAGACCATCGAACTGAAGAAAGAAGAAGAAAAAAGAAGCAAAAAAGAAGAATGAATGACATACCTCAAAGCCTGCGAAAAACAAAGAGAGAGAGAGTGATGAACTGCGAGAAAAAGAGAGAGAGAGAGAGAGAGAGGACCTTCAAAGACCATCGAACTGAAGAAAGAAGAAGAAAAAAGAAGCAAAAAAGAAGAATGAATGACATACCTCAAAGCCTGCGAAAAACAAAGAGAGAGAGAGTGATGAACTGCGAGAAAAAGAGAGAGAGAGAGAGAGAGAGGACCTTCAAAGACCATCGAACTGAAGAAAGAAGAAGAAAAAAGAAGCAAAAAAGAAGAATGAATGACATACCTCAAAGCCTGCGAAAAACAAAGAGAGAGAGAGTGATGAACTGCGAGAAAAAGAGAGAGAGAGAGAGAGAGAGGACCTTCAAAGACCATCGAACTGAAGAAAGAAGAAGAAAAAAGAAGCAAAAAAGAAGAATGAATGACATACCTCAAAGCCTGCGAAAAACAAAGAGAGAGAGAGTGATGAACTGCGAGAAAAAGAGAGAGAGAGAGAGAGAGAGGACCTTCAAAGACCATCGAACTGAAGAAAGAAGAAGAAAAAAGAAGCAAAAAAGAAGAATGAATGACATACCTCAAAGCCTGCGAAAAACAAAGAGAGAGAGAGTGATGAACTGCGAGAAAAAGAGAGAGAGAGAGAGAGAGAGGACCTTCAAAGACCATCGAACTGAAGAAAGAAGAAGAAAAAAGAAGCAAAAAAGAAGAATGAATGACATACCTCAAAGCCTGCGAAAAACAAAGAGAGAGAGAGTGATGAACTGCGAGAAAAAGAGAGAGAGAGAGAGAGAGAGGACCTTCAAAGACCATCGAACTGAAGAAAGAAGAAGAAAAAAGAAGCAAAAAAGAAGAATGAATGACATACCTCAAAGCCTGCGAAAAACAAAGAGAGAGAGAGTGATGAACTGCGAGAAAAAGAGAGAGAGAGAGAGAGAGAGGACCTTCAAAGACCATCGAACTGAAGAAAGAAGAAGAAAAAAGAAGCAAAAAAGAAGAATGAATGACATACCTCAAAGCCTGCGAAAAACAAAGAGAGAGAGAGTGATGAACTGCGAGAAAAAGAGAGAGAGAGAGAGAGAGAGGACCTTCAAAGACCATCGAACTGAAGAAAGAAGAAGAAAAAAGAAGCAAAAAAGAAGAATGAATGACATACCTCAAAGCCTGCGAAAAACAAAGAGAGAGAGAGTGATGAACTGCGAGAAAAAGAGAGAGAGAGAGAGAGAGAGGACCTTCAAAGACCATCGAACTGAAGAAAGAAGAAGAAAAAAGAAGCAAAAAAGAAGAATGAATGACATACCTCAAAGCCTGCGAAAAACAAAGAGAGAGAGAGTGATGAACTGCGAGAAAAAGAGAGAGAGAGAGAGAGAGAGGACCTTCAAAGACCATCGAACTGAAGAAAGAAGAAGAAAAAAGAAGCAAAAAAGAAGAATGAATGACATACCTCAAAGCCTGCGAAAAACAAAGAGAGAGAGAGTGATGAACTGCGAGAAAAAGAGAGAGAGAGAGAGAGAGAGGACCTTCAAAGACCATCGAACTGAAGAAAGAAGAAGAAAAAAGAAGCAAAAAAGAAGAATGAATGACATACCTCAAAGCCTGCGAAAAACAAAGAGAGAGAGAGTGATGAACTGCGAGAAAAAGAGAGAGAGAGAGAGAGAGAGGACCTTCAAAGACCATCGAACTGAAGAAAGAAGAAGAAAAAAGAAGCAAAAAAGAAGAATGAATGACATACCTCAAAGCCTGCGAAAAACAAAGAGAGAGAGAGTGATGAACTGCGAGAAAAAGAGAGAGAGAGAGAGAGAGAGGACCTTCAAAGACCATCGAACTGAAGAAAGAAGAAGAAAAAAGAAGCAAAAAAGAAGAATGAATGACATACCTCAAAGCCTGCGAAAAACAAAGAGAGAGAGAGTGATGAACTGCGAGAAAAAGAGAGAGAGAGAGAGAGAGAGGACCTTCAAAGACCATCGAACTGAAGAAAGAAGAAGAAAAAAGAAGCAAAAAAGAAGAATGAATGACATACCTCAAAGCCTGCGAAAAACAAAGAGAGAGAGAGTGATGAACTGCGAGAAAAAGAGAGAGAGAGAGAGAGAGAGGACCTTCAAAGACCATCGAACTGAAGAAAGAAGAAGAAAAAAGAAGCAAAAAAGAAGAATGAATGACATACCTCAAAGCCTGCGAAAAACAAAGAGAGAGAGAGTGATGAACTGCGAGAAAAAGAGAGAGAGAGAGAGAGAGAGGACCTTCAAAGACCATCGAACTGAAGAAAGAAGAAGAAAAAAGAAGCAAAAAAGAAGAATGAATGACATACCTCAAAGCCTGCGAAAAACAAAGAGAGAGAGAGTGATGAACTGCGAGAAAAAGAGAGAGAGAGAGAGAGAGAGGACCTTCAAAGACCATCGAACTGAAGAAAGAAGAAGAAAAAAGAAGCAAAAAAGAAGAATGAATGACATACCTCAAAGCCTGCGAAAAACAAAGAGAGAGAGAGTGATGAACTGCGAGAAAAAGAGAGAGAGAGAGAGAGAGAGGACCTTCAAAGACCATCGAACTGAAGAAAGAAGAAGAAAAAAGAAGCAAAAAAGAAGAATGAATGACATACCTCAAAGCCTGCGAAAAACAAAGAGAGAGAGAGTGATGAACTGCGAGAAAAAGAGAGAGAGAGAGAGAGAGAGGACCTTCAAAGACCATCGAACTGAAGAAAGAAGAAGAAAAAAGAAGCAAAAAAGAAGAATGAATGACATACCTCAAAGCCTGCGAAAAACAAAGAGAGAGAGAGTGATGAACTGCGAGAAAAAGAGAGAGAGAGAGAGAGAGAGGACCTTCAAAGACCATCGAACTGAAGAAAGAAGAAGAAAAAAGAAGCAAAAAAGAAGAATGAATGACATACCTCAAAGCCTGCGAAAAACAAAGAGAGAGAGAGTGATGAACTGCGAGAAAAAGAGAGAGAGAGAGAGAGAGAGGACCTTCAAAGACCATCGAACTGAAGAAAGAAGAAGAAAAAAGAAGCAAAAAAGAAGAATGAATGACATACCTCAAAGCCTGCGAAAAACAAAGAGAGAGAGAGTGATGAACTGCGAGAAAAAGAGAGAGAGAGAGAGAGAGAGGACCTTCAAAGACCATCGAACTGAAGAAAGAAGAAGAAAAAAGAAGAACGAATGACATACCTCGAAGCCTGCGAAAAACAAAGAGAGAGAGAGTGATGAACTGCGAGAAAAAGAGAGAGAGAGAGAGAGAGAGGACCTTCAAAGACCATCGAACTGAAGAAAGAAGAAGAAAAAAGAAGAACGAATGACATACCTCGAAGCCTGCGAAAAACAAAGAGAGAGAGAGTGATGAACTACGAGAGAGAGAGAGAGAGGGAGAGAGAGAGCGAGAGAGAGAGAGAGAGAGAGAGAGAGAGAACCTTCAAAGACCATCGAACTGAAGAAAGAAGAAGCAAAAAAGAAGAACGAAGGACATACCTCGAAGCCCTAGATCGATCGACTGACTCTTCACCCTCTTGAGCTTCAACAGGTTCAGGTTTTTCTTCACCTCTGTTCTCTTCTCTTTCTCCTCCCTTTCTCTTTGTCGACGTTAGGGTTTAGTTTAGGAAAGCAAAATTTTGTGTTTTTACACATTTTACCCCATTTACAAGTTTTGAAATTACATTTTGTACGCTCTAAGTGTCCAAAACGTGTTGCTGGGTGTCCCAAACGTGTCCGACTGCAAAAAATTCAAAAAAAAAAAAAAAGGACACCTCCCATAGAGTGTCGGACATGTGTCCACCACGTGTCTGAAGCGTGTCCGTGTCCAACATGTGTCGAACACCCATACGCTGCCTTCGGAGATGTGTCCGTTCTTCATAGATTAAAATTAAATATTAATTTAGTTTCGTTATGTTCACAAGCCATATCGAGCCAAGCTCAGGGCAACTCGAGCTCAGCTCGATTAATAAACGAGCCTAAAAATCGAGCATGAGCTTGTTCATTTAGTAAATGAACTGAAATCAAACGAGCTGAGCTAGAGCTATCCATGAACAACTCGGTTTGTTTGCCACCCTAGTTTGGACACACCTCAAGACACATTTGCAAGTTTCTTTTATATAATTTTAGAAAAATGGTTTGGGATCAAAATAAAATACATGGAAATATATATATCCACATATACATTGATGTCTATTACATTTCTATGCACTAAATTTATAATCATATATATAGCAAATAAAGATATGTATAAAATATTTTTTCACCATATTGTGTCCATGCTTCTTAGGTTGTAAATCATTACTTGGGTCTTGTATTTATTCTCATTGAATAGTGGTTGTAAGCAATGTTGTGAAAGGCGCGCCTAGGCGCAAGCCGCATCCAAGCGCAACTTCGGCAACTAAAGAGACCCAAGGCGAGGCGAGGTAGATGAGTCGCACGCCTAGGCCGAGCCTTGGGCCAGGCACGAACAGGCGCAAGGCGACACTTAAGCGTGCCTTTTTGTTTTTTTGTTTTTTTTTTTTTGCCCCCTTATGCTTATCGATGGCTCTGATCTGAGTTTGAATGGGTCCAACACATACGATTGCAACTCAAACAACACATACGAGAGTCGAAGCCCTAAAATTTTTCAGTGTCATCTCTTCTCATCGCGCAGTCTGCAGCTCAATACGATTGCAACTTCGTCTTTGATTGAAGACTTCGACTTCGGCTTCGGCTACAGGTTAGTCTTCTTCTTCTTCTTCGTCTGCTTGATGTCGTCTCGTCTCTCTTTTCTTTTTCTTTTTTTTCCTTCTGCTTCTTCATCGCTGTGATGCTAGGTTTTTTTTTTTTGGTTTCCCTTATTCGCCTTCGTCTCCTCTTCTTCTTTGTTGGGTGCTTGCTGTCGTCTCTCGTCTCTAGTCTCTCGGTGTTTTTTTGTTTTGTTTTTTTTTTGGTCTGCTTCTTTGCTGGGTGAGTTGGACTTTTTTTTTTTGATCTATTCATCACTTCATGATCTGTTCATAACTTCTTTTTTTCCTTTTGTTGCTTGGTCTTTTTTTTCTTCTTGTCTCTGTTAGGAAAGAAAATTACAAATAATTAATTAATCACACATTTTTTTCCTTCTGTTGTTGGTCTTCTGTTTTTTTTTTCCTCGTCTCTGCTAGGAAAGAAAATTACAAATAATTAATTAATCACACATTATATTACACTGACTGAAATTATTATCCGTTTATTAAATTTGTTGCGTAGAAAATGACATCTGAAAGTAATAGAAAAGATCTGGCATGGCAACATGCCTATTTGGTAAAGCCCATTTGTCTTGAATCTTGATTACTTTTTATTTTAAAAAAAAAAGTCTTAGCACTATGAATGATTAGCCTATGTTAATTTTTCTATTTTTTACTAGGACTGTGCACCTTGCTTCAATAAAGCCCACGCCTCGCCTCGCGCCTTGCACCTAGGCCCCGAGAGACCTTCAACGCCTTAGTGTGCCTTGAGCCTTTAAAAACACTGGTTGTAAGTCATTACTTGAGTCTTATATTAATCTCGTTGAATAGCAGATTATCATTATCGAAAAAAGTGCCCCAGGTTTTTCCCCTTTAGAGGGTGTCCACATATAAATTGATATGTTCAATTTGTGGATATTATACTTGTGTTATTATCTTGTTTAACAGTTACACAAAATCTGAATTGGGCAGAAAGTTTAATTGATCGATGTATCCATTATGCTTTTTCAGTCTTTGCCATATAACTTTAGCAAGCATTTTCTTAAACAAAAAAGTGATCAAACAGAACCACCCAATTGAGTTTAGCTGCCATAACTAACTAAATAACAAGGAAAATGAAAATCTCAACCTCGCAATGTGTTAGCGTATCAACACAACTGCAATTGAATCCTATTTCAATTAAAGTACAGAAAAACATGTGATATTACAACTTGCAGTTCACCACTAGATCTAAGTAGTGTTAAGAAGTGACAGAAAGAACAAAACAAACTTAAAATTCATCAGTGGATGGCATGTTAAACATCCTAATTAGTTGAAATTCATAAACATAAAGGAACCAGAAAAAGAAAATTACCTATCGAGTACAACCCAAGTTGCATTACAAGTTGTAACCTCTTGTAAAACCACCTTCTGGATTGGAGTTCCAGCAGTAACCATGACTTCAATGTCAACCTAAACAAGAAAATGATAACTGTACTCAAGATAAGGAACAAAATACAGTGTGTTCCTCTTCGATTAAATCAGTAACGTAGCAATTGGCAGTTCTGTGAACAATGCATATCCCAAAAACACACAGGTTTTTTCATTTTCAATGTGAAAATAGTATATCTACTATTGCAACTATTTCTTTTATAATTGACACAATACTTCAGGTACTACTAGCAGATGGTAGTCTTATTGGGGTTATTGCACAGTTAAGAGACACTTTTTTAAGTAAAGCTTTTCATAGGATGAAAGTTGGATTTGTCATGCAATCTTCCTTAAGAGAATAAATGGGAAGACCCATCCATTGTGATGTAGATCAACAAACAATGCATTAAAGCCTTATGACGAAACACATAATCAAAGGTTTAACTTTTTTTCTTTTTTTTTTTTAACAACTCAGGGTGTCCGGGCCAGTTTGCGCTCGCCTTGACTAATCCCTAGGGGGACCAATCCCACCTCAACTAATTCGGAGCAGAGCTCTATATTGACTAGCCCAATACAAGGGTTGATAGCACCTAAAAGGTTTCGAACCTAACATCTAGAGAGGAGCAAACTCCCAAGTCCCAAGCCTACACCCTATGAAGCACAGACACCTCTCCGGAAGCAAGTATGGGTGTCCGACACATGTCGGACACGGACACGCGTCAAACATGCGGTGGACACGTGTCGGACACTTTACCTAACGTGTCCCCTTATTTATTTATTTCTTATTTTTGCAGCCAGACACGCTTGGGACACCTTACGGACACGTTGGAAATAGAGAGAGAGAGAGAGAGAGAGAGAGAGAGAGACCCTAATCCATTGAAGACACAGAGAGAGAGAGAGAGAGTGAAGAACCTGTTAAAGCCCTAGATCGAGGTATCTTCTTCGAATCTATTCTTCGATTTTCATATTTTCTTCTTTTTTCATCCTTTCTTCCGTTTTCTGCATTTTCTTCTTCTTTCGTCCTTTCTTCTGTTTGTCACTCTCCATCACTGTGTCTGTTTGTTCGTCTCTCTCTCTCTCTCTATCGTTGTGTTCGATTCCCTCTCTCTCTCTCCTTGTATGCGTATTTGACTCTCTCTCTCTCTCTCTCTCTCTGATGAAACCTTTTTTATAGTTTTTTTTTGTGACAAAAACCTTTATTTCCCTTTTTTTTCCTTTTTTCTTTTGGATATTCTTTTTTGCTAAATATTAACATACATGGAATAAATTATTTGTGTTTATAGGGAAAAAAATTAATTTGTGAATAATATTTAATATTAAAGTAAATAAATAAAAATAATATATCTTTTAATTTTACATATAATAAATATATATATATATATTGAGCTTGTCTCTAGCATGTCGTGTCTCTCATTTTTTGAAAATTTGTGTGTCAATGTGTTTGTGTCGTGTCCCGTGTCCGTGTCTATGTCCGTACTTCATAGACCATAACAGTATGAGTCCACCAGTATGTTGTCACCGAGCCTGAATAACAACATGTATGCCACCTATGTCATTGTGTTAACGTGTCTTAATCATCCAAGAACAAAATATCCCACAGCATTCTAGGGTTTTTTTTTTTTCTTTTTTCGAGGCATATACTAATATTTTTTAGGGTTAAATTGCACTAACCTCCCCTAAAGTTTGACGGAAATACAACAAGTCTCACCGTTTTAACATAATTACATCAGCCTCCCTTTTAATAAGGCTAAAGGGACTATAACTAACGTAATGTAAAGACAAACGGTGTGACAATACAAAGAAAAACGAGTTAAAATATACATTTCAGAGTAAAAGAGATGACAACATCATTTTTTCATCCATATGACTAACAAAAAGAGACCAATTGTAATGTAAATTAAAACTTTATGGGAGTCCAATGTATTTATGTCAAACACGTGGAACTAATTATATTTTCTCCAAATCTCATAGAAGGTTAGTTGAATTTATCCTATTTTTTACTATTAAGAATAGAGTAGTGCTATCAGCACCCCATGAATTATTTTGGACCTCTCATTTCTTTAGACCCCCACTTATAAATTTTGAAACCCTTAAAATTTCTTGCCTCCCCCCCTCCAAAAATAATACCAAAATTATCCTTGTAAAAATATTCCCCCCATTGAACGCACGCCCCTACACCCCTACACTCCAAAAAAACCCCACTTCCAAAAAACCGTAACAAAGCCCACGAAGAAGAAGAAAAAGAGGCAATGTGATTACTGTATCTACTACCTTATCCACCATTGATATACATAATTTCATAATTTTCTCATAATAATTTATTCTCTTACAAAAAAATTTGATAATAATTGATTTAGTTTTCTTAGTAAAACAGGTCTGAACCTATAAATAATGTTTGGTTATCTATTTCCAAACAAATAAACAATGTTCGGGCCTGTGTTCCCAAATTTCGGTTATATGTTCTGGAGTTCAGTTTCGAAAAAATAACAAACAGATTTTATTTTTTTTGCCATTTTGTTCAAGAAACTTACCCTTAAAAGGTCAATCTCCTCTAAGCTAAAAACAACATCAAAGTTATGAACCTCCTCTAAGCTTTTATTGTTGTACTTCTCTCGGCTTATGGAGTTATGATTGCCAAACAAACTTCCACTCATAGTCATTGCCGAAGAAGTGTGGATAATCAAATGGTTGCCATTGTTACCGTTGGAATATTGCCGCCAAATGGTTTTCAAGGTTTTGAGGGTGGGTAGATTTTGAAGGTGGGATTTGGGGAAGATGGGTGGGTGGTGATGGAGGTGGGTACTCTCATAAACCCTAATTCATGATATAGTGGGTGTGTAGGTTTAATTGTGAGATGGGGTGTCCCAAAATTAATGATGTCCTTTATAGTAATTTTATTTGAAGTTATTATTATAATAAAATAAAAAAAACCTAAAAATTAGAGGGTCCAAAATAATTTATGAGGTGCTAATAACAGCACTAAGAATATCGTCTTTGAAATTTTTCATACTAATGGATCATTAGTTCATTACTTTCAGACAAGCAAGCAGAGCTTTGACAGCTAGAATTAGTAATTGACCTTTCAGTTATTCTGTGATATAGGTACAACTTTCTCCACAGTTCTTCACAATATTCCAGAAGCTCATCAAATTTTTTCGACAGTTATATGTAGCCTCACAACATAAACTAATTATCCATATTATGACATGAAAGCAGTTTATAAAATATGTACCACCATAGTACCTCTAACATTTTGTGAAGTTTTATTGAATATCTTCATAAAATCTTCATTGTTCTCCTTATGTGATGTAAGCGATAAATACTAGTTACATCTGATTTGGTGTTGGGTTATATCACACTGTCATACAAACCATTTTTTTAGATTAAGGTTAAAAAAGATGCAACAATCACCGTGTCAAGATCTAGAAGTATAGGTATGCTCTAATCTATGCACTTATTTATAACAAGAATAACTCACACATGAAAGTTCAATGGATGCATTTAGAATATAGCACATTCCTATCAGCTCAGTAACAGTCACAGACTTATGTGCTTCACATTGCAAAGACTCTTGTGAAGTATTTCAACTAATGGCATATACACAGCAAGAAGATAAAAACATTATAGCCCCCTGCCAATGCAAAATTAACATAGCTTTTTACCACTGAATAATATTTGCTCTTTCAAAATAACCACCTCAATAGATTGTAATGCCTCTTAAATATATGGAATAGCTATTGCAAATATAAACAACATTCATTACCTTTTCATCTTTGCATTCTTCAGCGCTTTGTAGGAGCATGTCCACATACATATCAATCTTTTTTGAAACTTCATTTTTCATCACAATCATGTTTGTTCCCATAAAAGAAACAGGGGATGCTTGCATTTGGTAACCCACTACATCAAAATTAAAATAAAATAAGATCAACTTTAACAATTAAGATGATTAAGAAAACTGTGTTTACGATTTCTTTGAACTGTTCTCATGGTTGTTTGTACCTACTGTTGGCAGTACAAGCACCTGCATCCTTCAATTTCCAACTGTTGGTCATAATATATTGATATTTCCACAAATTTTGAATCCCAAAATCCATTGTGGGCTTTTCATATCACAGTCGTGAGATAGGGGTGATGGTAGAAAGTATTAAGAGTCACCAAAAACTCTTAGACCCCATGAAAGGATCAAAACTCAATTTAGTCATTACAGTTTTGGGATCTCTTTGGAGCCTTCAACACTCAAACAACTCTACCATATGATTCTTACAGTGAGATCACAAATTGGGTTGAAGCAAACAAACCCATATCGCTTTAAATAGCAAATGATAATATTGTTTCAATTAAATAAATCCATTATCATTTGCACTTTTATGAAGAGGGGTTAATCCGAGACACCCAATAAATAGATATTGAATCCATTTTCAAAAAGCAAATTGGAAAATGACCCAAACCCCACATATATATATATGTATATTACCTAAACTATAATGGGCATAGATAAGGTAGAAGAACTAAAGTTTAACCTCTAACTAACAGGCAATTTGTCAAACACTTACTGGGGTGTGGAAGCCTATGCAGAACTCCAAGCAGCATCAGTGTATCACCTCCATGAAGAATGTCTCCTCTCAATCGGAGATTATCAACAGTGAGTTTAAGCTCTCTTTCCTTGCGGTCCTTGGTAGCATCGTAAGCAATAACAACACGACCGGGTATTAGAGGATTATTCTCCATGAACGACCTATTAGAACTTTTCAAGGAAGTCATGGATGCAGAGCAACTTCTGCAAAAGATAACAGACTGCTCATTGTTCTCGTTATCTTGAACAGCCGACAGTGGAACAAGCTTGGAGATAGAATAGACCACCCTATGTTCTACATTGCCTGTATCAATAGTAGTATGAGGTCTCAAAACTTCCACAGACAAGTTATCACGAATTAACGCCACCTTGGAAGATATTTGTTTAAGGTAAAAACTCAAATCCCGCCTGAGGTGCCTAGCAAGAAGTTTAACTTGTTCTCAAGACCAGCGAAATATAAAGACGAAATGAAGAACAAGCATACATGCATCCACATATGGAAACTCAGATATGCAATTACTAATAATTATAGAAAGCATAACTATTGACCATTACTGTATGACTCTTGTTTATGAGAAATACGCAATTGTGAGAGCATATAAGTCAACAAGGGCGCAACTTAAGATTTAGCATCTTTGAGAATAACATTAACTTCATAACTCAAATTTCGAATGGTTATGATAATTCTTTCCTGAATTACAAATCTGTGAAGTTATGAATATGTGATTCTTTCTGATGCAGGGACAACTAACACAGATCCTAGAAGCCAAAGCTCATGGGAGAAGGCATATCAATCCCTTTATCCCCAGCCTAGGGTTCTAGTCAATCAAGGCGAGACGCACGTCAGCCTGGGGTGATGCTCCAATAAAGTGTATCATCAATTTTCAATTTGCAAAAGTTGGCTGGAGTCGTTGCAACAAAGCTAAAGTCTTGCAAGATTCAATGGGAGATAAAAACCATATTCAAGAGACAGTCGACTAGTGGTTCCAAGCCACTTGTGTTACGGGGATCGGGAATTGTTTGGCAACTTGCCGTGGAGTACAAGAGTTTGATGTGAAAATTCTACCGAGGTATTGGTTGTAAGCTATGAAGTACCAACACTTCAAAATGGTTGTTGTGTCCGCGTCAGATAGGTATGGGACACTGACCCTTCAAGGACATGCGTGTCCACCACGTGGAATGTCTATTATTATTATTCTTTTATTTTTATTTTTATTTTTATTTTTATTTTTTTTTGCAAGACACTTCACAGACAAGCGTCCTATGTTTGGACTAGGGATTTTGAGTATTCAAGTTTGTTTATTAAGAATTAATTGAACTCAAGCTCAAGTATAGCTTAAAGAATTGAGCTCGGCTCAAGCCAACTCGATTACATAACCGAGCCAAGTTTGAGCGTGAAAAAAAATTTAGCTCAAATTAATTTACTTATTCAAATGAAAAATAGAAAATTATGAGCAAAATATACAAGAAAGCTCATATTAATATAAAAAAAAGCAATTGATAAACCATATTAATAAAAATTTCATTAACCAAATATGTAAATTTACACAAACACCCAACACAAACCAAAAAAATAAATTGAATTAATGAAAATTGATTTGATATTTTATTAAAACTAAATATTAATTTCGTTTCTTTATGTTCACGAGCCTTATCGATTCAAGCTTGGGGCAACTCGAGCTTAGCTCGATTAATAAAGGAGACTAAAAATCGATCTCGATCTCGAGCTCGAGCTTGAGCTCGTTCATTTAGTAAACGACTCGAAATCAAACGAGCCAAGCTCGAGCTATTCATGAACAACTCAGTTCGTTTGAAACCCTAGTTTGGACACGCCTCAAGACACATTTGCGAGTTTCTTTTATATAATTTTAGAAAGATGGTTTGGGATTAAAGTAAAATACACGGACATATATATATATATATACCAACATACACATTGTTGTCTATTACATCTCTGTGCATTAAATTTATATTCATATATAAGGCAAATAAAGATATATAAAAAATGTTTTTTCGCTATATGGTGTCCATGCTTCTTAGGTTGTAAGCCATTACTTGAGTCTTGTATTAATTTCATTGAATAGTGGTTGGTTGTACTTGTAAGTCATTACTTGAGTCTTATATTAATCTCGTTGAATAGTAAATTATCATTATCGAAAAAAGTGCCAGAGGTTTATCGCCTTTAGAGGGTGTCCACATAAAAATTGATATGTTCAATTTGTGCATATTATATCTGTGTTATTATCTTGTTTAACACTTGCACACAGAATTTGATTTGGGCAGAAAGTTTAATTGATTGATTTATCCATTATGCTTTTTCATTCTTTGCTATATAACTTTAGCAAACATTTTCTTAAACAAAAAAGTGATAAAACAGAACCACCCAATTGAGTTAAGCTGCCACAACTAACTAAATAACAAGGAAAGTCAAAATTTCAACCTCGCAATGTGTTAGCATATTAACACATCCGCAATTGAACCCTATTTCAATTAAACTACAGAAGAACATGTTATATTACAACTTGCAGTTCACCACTAGATCTAAGTATGTTAAGAAGTGACAGAAAGAACAAAACAAACTTAAAATTCATCAGTAGATGGCATGTTAAACGTCCTAATTAATTGAAATTCATAAACATAAGGGAACTAGAAAAAGAAAATTACCTATCAAGTACAACCCAAGTTGCATTACAAGTTGTAACCTCTTGTAAAACCACCTTCTGGATTGGAGTTCCAGCAGTAACCATGACTTCAATGTCAACCTAAACAAGAAAATGATAACTGTACTCAAGATAAGGAACAAAATACGGTGTGTTCCTCTTAGATTAAATCAGTAACATAGCAATTGAAAGTTATGTGAACAATGCATATCCCAAAAACATTGAGGTTTTTTCATTTTCAATGTGAAAATAGTATATCTACTATTGCAACTATTTCTTTTATAATTGATACAATACTTAAGGTACTACTAGCACATGGTAATCTTATTGGGCATATTGTACAGTTAGAGACAAGGTAATCAATCAGGTACTTCTTTAAGTAAAGCTTTTTATAGGATAAAAGTGGGATTTGTCATGCAAGCTTCCTTAAGAGAATAAATGGGAAGAACCATCCATCGTGATGTAGATCAACAAACAATGCATTATAGCCTTATGATAAAACATAGATTCAATCAAAGGTTTTGACTTTACAATTAAATCAAGTCAACTGTGCATTTATTTAATTGTGTGGAGTCAGCAACAGTAATCATGTTGCACAATTGAATTGCATATTGGTCCACATGCTCCTCTAGTAGCCGATTGAGAATTTATCATTCATGTGGGTCTAAAAAGGTTTATGCAGTCTGTCATCATGTCATCTACCTAGCACATACCACCATTTTTATGACTGCCACTTAATCAACACAAACACTTCTAAGAAGGTGGCATGTCATATCCGACACCTAGTCGGACACTGAGATGACACGACACGACAAGACAAAACACTCATCAGACAATTCTTGATGTCTTTTGGACACATCCAAACATGTCATACTATTTTCCAAATTTTTCTAGACCGGACACACTTTACACATTTGGAGATCTCAATTGTCTAACGCCTAGACACACATGAAAGACACAATGGCCTTGTTTGGTTTGTGTTTCTCAAAAAATTTTGGGAAAAATTCTCTACAAATAAGTTTTCAAAAGTAATTAAACCAAACAAATTTTCCCAAAAAAATTTTCCAACGCTTGTTTGGTTTACAAATTTTCCAAACAAATCTCTCTCTCATACACATCAAATCAATCACTTTTTCCAAAACTCTCTCTCAAAATAATTTTTCAAAACATCTTTTGAAAAAAAACCAAACCAAACAAATTTTCGTACTTTTTATCTCAAAACATGTTTCTCAAATACAAACCAAACAAGGCCTACAATTTTTAATAAATAACTTGAAAAACAAAATGGAAAAAAAAAATAAATTGATACCTATTTTTCTCCTTTACACATTAAAAATTAGTGTTACATTGTATTTTTTTTTATTATTTTTGAACTGAATATTCATATACATGACAAATAATTATTACTTATTTATTATTTTTGTGTGTCCCCAACGTGTCGTGTCTTATATTTTTTAAAAATTTGTGTCAACATGTCCATGTTGTGTCATGTGTCTATGCATCTGTGTGTGCCCATGCTTCTCATATCGCAGTATATTGTGCAATTTCTGTGACACGTAGAAATAATTCTAGTTATACAAGTAATTTGGGATATATTTTAGACTTGTATATGTGTTGAGTTAGATATTACAATAAATAAAGCGAATGATAAATTTTGAAAACAACAATACATTAATGTATTGGAGAAGCAATCATGTATTTTGTAATTATATTAATTCATCACATCACCATGGGTTGCCATACCAGCACATGTTGTCACCAGTGATGATTCAAAAGTGCTACTGCAACCTCTAACTAGGGCTGTTCATAGATCCGAATCACCCGAAAAATCCGACTCGAACCACCAGACCCAAAGGCAATACAGACAGTTTCAACCATTAGTTCGGTCGGCTGCAGTTCAGATGTTTAAATTTCTACGGGTGTCAGTTGAGTGTCAGTCTTGATAAAGAAAAAATCACTAAACCCGACCCATCCGAATTATTTTTATATGATAAATATGAATCTGCCAGGTTTCATATATAATTCCAACGGAGACCTACACCTTCCCAAGAATCTTTTTATCTTCCCAAGAAATCACTTGTATCCCCTATTCTCAAAGACATAGGCCTATATCCTTAGAATAACTTTAAATTTATTATATTACCATCTGACTAAATTTAATGCTATATCTCCCTAATTTATCACCTCTAAATAATTTTTAATGATGTTACATTGAAGTTAAATTTTACATGGTAGAATATTTGACAAATCAAAATTTAACACTTGTCAAGCACATCATTAAAAATGATAAATTAATATATTTCAAATATTTTTCTTTTCTTATTTTTTTCCATCCTCTCTCTCTAACTCTCTCCTCTATCCCTCCATATAACTTTATTCATTACCAATGCATCTGACCAATTTTTATTCTCTCTCTCTCTCTCTCTCAATCTTCTTCCTTCTCTCTTACACAATGATCTCTCTCTCTCACTAAACCTCTCGTCTACCTCTCCCTCTTTCTTTGACCGTTTCGTCTCTTCTCTCTCTCTCAATTTTCTTCTTTTCTGTCACACACACAGTGGGGCAATGGATATCTAAGCTCTACCAAAGCCCTTTAGTGAAGTGCAAGCTTTGGATTGTTAAAAATTGATGATGATGATTGATCAATTGTAGTTATAACGCTCTCTCTCCCTCTCTCTCTCTCTCTCTTTTGATTTCTGAACACTCTTGCTTGGCAGTAGTGTCAAGTGACGATGATAATTGTGCGATGATGCGTGAGTATAGCCTTGCTATTATCAATTTTTTTTTTCAATATCCCTTTTTTTAGATCTAGTCTAGATCAGTATTTATGTATTTGGATTGTATATATTTTTTATTTTGAGTTTTGTTCGAATGTGGGAAAAAAAAAAACTGCTTTGCATGTATCACCCGTCCGATCCGACCGTCAAACCGAATCATTTGGTTCGGATGATTTCGATCGGTATGACAGTCGAAAGCGGGTGATTCATATTTTCACCTGACATGTTCGGTTCAGTTAGCGGTAAGGGGTGAACCCCGAGCCGACTCAACCCGTGAACACCCCTCCCGCTTACATGATGGTTACGGTGTTTCAAATGACTCAAGAACTTCATATGGTTCCATGGCATTACATTACAATATAAAATTAATTCAAGATACATATAAAACCTTTATTGATTGGAAAAAAAAAAATTCACATATTTTGTATGACTACATCTAATTCATCATAGCACTATAAGTCCACCCAAATGTTGTCGCCGGGCCTGAATAACAATACTTATGCCACCTATGTCATTGTGTTAATGTGTCTTAATCATCCAAGAACAAAATATCCCACAGCATTCTAGGCTTTTTTTTTTTGGCTTTTTTTTTTTTGGTGATATATACTAATATTTTTTAGAGGTCAATTACACTAACCTCCCCTAAAATTTGAAGAAAATACAATAAGTCTCACGATTTTAACATAGTTACATCGGCCTCCCCATTAAAAGGGTGAGATGGGAACAAGGCCCCTAGGCCAGATAGCTCTAAACCTTTGGGGATTAAGAAGTGCTGGAAGGAAATTTATGAAGAAGGAAGTGTTGGAATTTTTCAAAGAATTTTTTGATCATGGTAAATTGGTGGCTGGTCTCAACTCATCTTTCATTACTCTAATCCCAAAGACAGAAAACCCCATCTGTCTTTCAGACTATAGGCCAATTAGCCTTATTGGATCAGTCTATAAAATTCTTGCTTAAGTCTTAGCCTCAAGGCTGAAAAAGGTATTGCCCAACATCATTAGTGAGTCTCAATCAGCATTTATGGGTGGTAGAAATATCTTGGATGGCATATTAATAGCTAATGAAGTGTTGGATTGGTGGAAAACAGCGGGAAGGAAAGGGGTGGTACTCAACTTAGATTTTGAAAAAGCTTTTGATAGTGTCAACTGGGGATTTTTACTCTAACTTATTGGGGAGCTTTGGGTTTGGTCAGAGGTGAATTGGATGGATTAAAACTTGTATATCATCTGCTAGAATTTCAGTTTTGGTTAATGACAGGCAGCCCAACAGAAGAGTTTAATCTGTGAAGGGATTGAGGCAAGGGGATCTACTTTCTCCATTTCTCTTTAACATGGTAGTTGAAGGGCTATGCTAAAGGTTAGGTGAGTACCTAATCTTTCCCCTCACAAACACACATTAATGTGTACTAATTGGGCGTTGTTTTTTTTGTTTTTTTATGGTAGTTGAAGGGCTCAATATCATCATTATAAGAGCTAGGAAGTTGGGGCTGTGGAAAGGGGTATCAATTGTCAAAGATAAGGTGATTGTGACCCACCTTCAATTTGCCGATGACACAATACTCGTTTGTGAAGCAGATTAGGATGAGATCCTGTGTATCAAAAGAATAATAAGGTGCTTTGAAGTAGTTTCTGGGTTGAAGATTAATCACTCTAAGAGTAGGGTGATTAGAGTAGGTGTGGAAGAGACTCTAATCAGTGAGTTTAGATGCATTAAATTGTACCAAAAAAAAGACTCCATTTAAGTTCTTGGGTCTTCCTCTTGGTGCCAACCCCAGACTTAAGTCCACTTGGGATCCCGCGGTGAAGAGTTCTAAGTTGAGGCTTGCAAGCTGGAAGGAGCAACTCCTTTCATTTGGAGGTAGGTTAGCTTTAATTAAGTCGATAATCTACCTACATATTACTTGTCCATGTTTAAAATGCCTGAAGGTGTGGCTAAGGTGTTGGATAAATAACAAGCATCTTTCTTGTGGGGTGGATCAGTTTTGAAAAGAAGAGTGCATTTGGCGAAGTGGAGTGAAATAACCAAAGGAATGGATGCAGGAGGTCTTGGAATTAGAAGATTGAGAGACGTGAACTTGTGCCTCCTTGCCAGATGGTGGTGGAAGTTTGGAGCACTGGACAATGTCTTATGGAAAAATGTTCTGCGTAGTAAGTACCATTATGCAAATAGTAAGTGGTCTCCACCTACGTTGCATGGACTCGGGTGTGGGTATCGGGTGCGGGTGCATATCTAAAGGGTTAGACACTTTAAAACTAAAAATTAAGAATACATGGATATGGATCCAAATTTGGATATAGGTACGGAGATACGTTAAATAATTATTTT